AAAAAAAAAAAAAAAAGAACAAAAAAATCTATAATAATGATAATATTAATAAATCAAAATAAATGAATGAATGAAATAAAATAAAAAAGAGAGATAGAGGATCTTCCGCTACCAACGTTCTTCCAAATCGACTAGACTTGGAGACCGTTGCAGAGTATCTACCGTTTCTTCATCATAAACATCTCCAGTTACCAGGCTCCAGACACTGCTGAGGCCCTTGCGATAACGCATTAGTAAATTGTTTTCCTTTTATATATATATAATTATCATTCTCCTTTTACTACTCCGTACACGAAAACTACAATGCATGGTGTGCTGTCAGCCACCCTATTAATTTTACAACATTGACGATTACCAAATCACGAAGCTGATCTAAGATGAGTATCATCATCTTTAAAACGGACCCCGCATGAACACATCACACATCCTTTCTTCTGTACAACCCTATATATACTGTACACTTTACGGAGTACAGTCATAAAAAATCATGCGCGACTGATTCAGATACCCAACCAAACTCACAAGATGAATGAAGGAGGGCTGGGCGTACCGACATGCAGCGTGATCTCATCTGACATAATGTAAAATATATATATATATATATATATATGGCTTAGGTAGGAATGCCTCCCACAGGCGGATATTATCTGTGTTCTCAAGGATGCCCAGCCGCATAAAACTGCCTGGGATTTCGGATGCCGCACGGTAATTAACACAAGTACTAGAAAGAAACATCTGAGTGCCTTGCAGAACAAAAATGTCCATATCATCCGACTCGCCTATGCCCTTGCTGGAACTAGGGGTGCCCTTCAGGCCATGCAACTCAGACATTACATACTTCTTTCTAGGATCATAAATGGCGTATGTATTTGACTTACTGCTGTACGGCACAAGAATTTACATACACATATCCATCCTCTAGTGATGCTCGTGATCAGCTGCTAAGCATCAGACTACTGGTCATCAGCCTATACTCATGGAGGAGCGTACCTGCAGATCCCACTCTTGAACCATGTGGCCCGGAATTTGTAGCATTCTTATGGCATTCCTGACAGCGCCACTACATCGATAATCCTAATTAATTACAGCAGTCAACAGGACAGTTTGGAATCTTCATGACGTGATTTCCAGCTGTCACCCAACAGCCACACAGCCACTATATTATCTCACGGATAGGAGACAGATAGCGCATCTTTGGCCTCTTTAATCGGACTACATCCATTCGAGATAAAAACCATGCAACGAACCCATGGGTAAACTCGATAGCTGATTTCGCGGGTCTAGCGAGCCTATCGTTAATTCCTCCTATAATAGCTTGACCGTATGATGAGAGAAGGAACGTTCGCTGTACGGAGTACGGAGGTATGGTATGTCTTTGCTGGAAACGTCGGTGTAGTGCCAAGTAAGTGCTAAGACCTGGCCGTGGAGACAAAGATCAATAGACTTGCCAAGTAAATACCTCTCCATCACTCTAGACCAGTCGTGTGCCCACTTGACAGTTACACATACACGGCAGGCTGCGCACAGTGAGCCGAAGATCCTGCGAAAACCTCCAATGCAAGCCGCTTGGCACTTGATAAAGTGAGATACAAGCGTTGTTTAGTCTTCTCTATGAAAATCGTTTTTCTCCGAGGAATCGTCCTATTATTCCCAATGGAGCAGACTAAGGCGTGGACGTATCGATTTTACTTCGCTAGTCCCGTTAGTCCATATGGCAAAATATGGAACAATACAAAAAAATCGTTTGTTTAAGGGGAATTTTCCTTCTTATCGCTAGCATGGTTATCGCGTTGGCCATCATGCCGATACTCTCCTATGAAATGTTAGCACATAGACAGTACTGTATACGTATGCGTCATGTTCAATATTATGCAAGAGACGGCCTTCGGGTTCCCACCGGTTTGAACTCTGAAGTGATCCTATAGTAGTCCATGCGACGAGCTTGCGAATAGCATCACACTTGCGTGGCTTTATCTTCCGTTGTTACGTACTCCATCTCGTCCCGTGGGGCACCAGGGAAGCTATCAGTCATCAGGGGTATCTACCGGCTAGGCTCCGTATACTCCGTAACGTGCAACACTTTGCATCTGAAAATTGATTCTCTTTTTTCCTAGTCCCTTTTACTCCATACACTCTGCTGATTTTGTGGTCGAGCCATGAATATTGGGTGGTTTGTAGTGAGGATTCGGAGCGCTACGCCTTGGAGTACACTACACCAGAACGAGTATATTATTATCTTCCCATTGTTTTCGACGTATTTTACTAGTGCCTTTTTCTTCTCTCTCTCTTTGTTACATTTTCTATCTGCTCTCAAATAGGCATCATGGCAGTCTCTAGACAATGTCAGCCCATTGAGCAAGAATATCAATTCTCAAAAACATTAGCTTGACGTGTACCCCACATAAGGGGCTGTATCATGCCTAGAAATCTCAGGATTGGTATCTAACCATGATACATGGATGTGTATAAATCGAATGGAGATATATAATCTCGGCTACACTGATTGTTCTGCCCTATAGTATCAAACGACCATGGAATGCGGAGTATTCAAAGGACGGGGTTTAATATTTTCCCTCAACCTTCATTGGAGTCAACGACAAGGAGCCGAGCTTCCGGGCTCCACGTACACCTTGGACGGCAGTAGGCAACAACGACTCTATTCCAATGCACAGCTGTGTCCGAGGCATTTTCCCTGCATTTCCCCTGCATTTTCCTTTTTTCTTTCTTTCTTTCTTTGTTTTTATTATTATTTTTTCCCCCCCCCTTGCTCCTTTTCTGGACGTCCGATTTACTTGCAAGTACTATGGGCTAAGCATACTGGCTGCCTAGTTTATCTCTTTTCGTCTCACTGACAACACGAGGAGTCTGATGTATCCCAAGTCAAATTGTAATCACCGGTACAGGATATACTTTGATATACTTCTATCCTATTGAATGACACATTCCACCGAACGTTTAGACTAGAGCGACGATCATGAAGAGTAGACCTACAGTAGTAGCTGATTGCTACCGCATTAAGAGCATGAATGACTAATCCACGATTGAGGTCGATGCCAAGACCGGACAAATTTGCCCACCGCCTTCCCGTGAATTTTTTTGATTTCCATTATCGCAGAATTCGAGACAAGTCGAAGTCTGCAGCAATCGACATAAAATAGCAAAATGGTGTCCTCAACAGCGGTCACTACTAAGGTGGCCTCCGGGTCCCCCTACCAACTCGAGAAGACCCAGGTATGTAACCGATAACGTCCCGGGTCAACAATGGCAAACGTGATCTCAGTAGCTAACGATATGCCTGCAGGTTTCCAAGGCTTCTTCTGCGCTTTTGCGACACATCAAATCGAAGCAGGTGGAAAAGGAGAAGTCTGCGACCAAGAAGACTCTGATTGGAGACAACGATGAGTCCGACGATGAAACCCCACTCAACAACGAGGCTGTCTGGCTCGTGGTCACCACCAAGAAGCACGTTGTCGACAAGAACCGCCTGAAGCCCGGCAAGATTACCGTCCCACACTCCCTCAATGACTCCTCGAACCTCAGTGTCTGCCTCATCACCGCCGACCCTCAGCGCTCGGTCAAGAACATTGTTACCGATCCTTCTTTCCCTGAACATCTTACTTCCCGCATTGACCGGGTTATCGGCTACTCCAAATTGAAGGCCAGATATCAGAGCTTTGAGAGTCGGCGACAACTCCTGTCCGAGCATGATGTTTTCCTGGCGGATGACCGGATCATTTTGCGCTTGGTCAATACCCTTGGAAAGATCTTCTACAAGTCTAGCAAGCGGCCTATTCCTATTTCCATTGCTAAGGTTGAGAAAAAGGACGGCAAGAGAGTGAAGAAGGACCCGAAGCAGAAGTCGAAGGAAGAAGACAGTGCTTTCGCCTCTCCTGCAATTGTCGCCAAGGAGATCGAGAAGGCACTCCACTCCGCACCTGTCCAGCTGGCTCCCGCCACTACTGCCTCCATCCGCATTGGTTCATCTAAGTTTACCCCGGAGCAGCTGTCTGAGAATGTTGATGCTGTTGTTCAGGGCTTGACTGAAAAATTCATTACGAAGGGCTGGAGAAACATCAAGGCCCTTCACATCAAGGGTGCCACTACTATGGCCATGCCAATCTGGTTAGCCAATGAATTGTGGGTTGAGGAGGGTGATGTGGCTGAAGACACCGCTGAGGCTGATGTGAAGGCCCTGGAAGGCGCCAAGAACAAGAAGCGCAAGCAGAGCGCGGAAGATGAGAAGCTGCTGGAGGCCAATAAGAAGTCCAAGAAACCCAAGGCTGCTGATGAGGACGAGGACACTGCTGCCCGGAAAGAGAAGCTTCAGAAGCAGAAGGCCAAGGCCCTGGAGGATGGCAACGTTGCCAAGACGACAGAATCCGCTACGAAAGCTGGAAAGAAGAAGAGAAAGTCGACTTCATAATATACTACTACTATGGTGTTATATGGATTATATTTGTCAACTGCAACTATAGGTTCCCCGGCGGCGTACCGTTGTCACGTGTGTCGATTTTTATGATTTAGACAATAGGGCGTGTTTGCAATACCCTTTGAAGAAAAAAAGTTATTGTTACTACTAGTACCGTGCTTTGATTTACATTCTGTTATTAGAAATTTTTCAAGCCATACAATGGTATAAGATATCCTTAAGATTTTGATCACTGGTCAGTCAACCACAGGTCCTCCGTAGTTAGCCTTGCAAAAGGCACATGCCATGCACATTTGCAGAGGACGACACCGCCCTTAGTTAACCGAGCTCTCCGAGGATCGGCGGATGCTTGGCGGACCGACGATAGCCACCCGCCCGCCAAAAGCGTCGGCAGAACTTCACTATTATGCAGTTGCACCTACTCGTTGGCAGCCCGACAAGAGCCCAGAGCAGGTTCTCATAATTGACTCAAATATACACACCATCATGATCCCGATCGCAAGACATTCGGCCCTTCGCGCCGTCCGCTCGCAACTCGCTCCGCGGGCCTTCAACCAGTCTGCGCTTGCCCGCCTTCTCTCCACCTTGGCCGTCCTTGAACAGCGTGATGGCAAGCTCCAGACCTCATCGCTTTCCGCGATTGCGGCTGCGCAGAAGCTAGGAGGACCCATTACTGCCTTCGTGGCTGGAAACGGCGTTAAGGGAACCTCGGCTGCGGAGGCAGCTAAGATTAAGGGCCTGGATAAGGTAGTAGCCGTGGACAGCGAGGCTTATGAGAAGGTACGAGGTCGCTACGAATGGCTCGGGAGCCATGAGACCACGATGTCAGAGATTTCTAACGTAAATGAAACCCTAGGGTCTCCCCGAGAACTACGCTCCTCTTCTCGTCGAGAACATCAAGAAGGGCGAATACACCCACATCATTGGCGGCCACTCCGCTTTCGGGAAGAGTCTTCTGCCTCGCGTGGCAGCTTTGCTGGATGTCCAGCAGGTGTCTGATATCACTGGAATTGAGAGCGAGGACAGTACGTATAAGAAAGGCTGAGGAAGTAGACTTTGTCGATGAGTCATATGTGCTGATGGTTGACACAGCTTTCGTCCGCCCTATCTATGCTGGAAACGCCATTCTTACTGTTCAGTCGAGCGACCCCATCAAGATCCTCACCGTTAGAGGCACTGCTTTCCAGGGTGTTGAGACCGAGGGTGGCTCTGCAGAGGTCGTTGAGGGAGTTGACCCCAAGGCACCCGCCCAGACCGAGTGGGTTTCTGAGGAGCTTGCCAAGTCTGAACGCCCCGACTTGGGTACCGCAGCCCGTGTTGTGTCCGGAGGTCGTGGCTTGAAGTCGAAGGAGGAATTCGATAGGGTTATTGTGCCTCTGGCCGATACGCTCGGGGCTGCTATCGGCGCTTCCCGTGCCGCTGTCGACAGTGGCTTCGCTGATAACAGTCTGCAGGTTGGCCAGACTGGCAAGAATGTTGCGCCTCAGCTGTATCTCTGCGCTGGTATTTCCGGTGCTATCCAGCATCTTGCTGGTATGAAGGATAGCAAAGTTATCGCTGCTATCAACAAGGACCCCGATGCTCCTATCTTCCAGGTTGCGGATGTCGGCCTTGTCGGCGACCTTTTTGAGAAGGTGCCGGAGTTGACTGAAAAGCTGAAGAGCCAGGCTTAGTTTGGCCTATCGCTTTTGTGTTCTTGTATCATGATTTCTTTTTGTCTCATGCGAGCTTCCGGGGCGGAGTCAATCATACAGTATACCATCCATTGTTAGCACTAGGAAATTGCAATTAGACTCCTAGTTACAACACGTTATGCTTGTATCGATCTTCGTGAGTAAAGCCTTGGGTTCAACCATAGGTGATGTGCTTCAACGCTGGAGTTATGCGCCCTTAACCGTACAGGCAGTAGTGTGAGAGCTTCATGGAAAGCTACGGCCATAGGCCCTTCCATTTAGTTTTCTATGGCAAGATATCAACTGCTGTGGTTGCTATATGTATGCAATATTATCGTAGCGAGATATTCCCCAATATTGCACCTTTCGTTGCCTTTTGAAGACTCTCATGCTATGGCCGGAGAGCAAGTTCAGCCCATTATTCAGTCGTTTTGTGAACAATTATCAATAATGAACAATATTATGTCCATTCTGTCATACATACACCTATATATGAACTTGCGTCACTCAGGCCTGGCCCTGGGCCGCATGCACTTGACCCCCATTTAGGGTTAGCGCGTACCCGTCGGCGCGTTCAAGCGCGTCGCATCGCCCACTCCATCTAATCGGTCCACAGATACGGAGTAGAGATCGAGAGTATCACCAGACTGGTCAATTGGGTATTACAGCTCTGTCAAAATATGAAATGATCTCTTGAACGCTTTAATGACATCGCCACCGTCGTCCTTCCCGCCATCGTTTGATCCCGCCATACACCTCCATTCCCAGGGACCGGACGATATAGATATACTCCCGCCCTCCGAATCTTTCTCCGACGAGTTCGAGGCGATACATCTGCAGCGACAGGAAAATATCCGCAATAAGGTCGTGATCCTAGACCGGGCTTGGAATCTCTCGGATGTGTTTCGGAGTGACGAGGATATAAGACCTGGTATGCTGCCGCACGAGAAGATAATGGTGATGCGAAGCATTCTGACGGCGATTTAGAAACTCCGACGAACCCTAGCAGAAAGACCCAGCTGGGGAACGTGAACTCGCCTGTTCGCCCACTAGTACTTCTACCGTCTTCGCCTCCCGCCGCCAAGATGCCGTTTATATCGTCACCTGTCGTCTTTCCATCGAGTGCTCCGTCGCCGACAGGCCAGCAGAAAAGGAAGAATGGAGAAGAGACTCAGTCCGGGGAGCCCAAGCGGCAAAAGATTATGGGAGGATTCTTGGATGACGATGATGATGAGGATGAGATGGATGCATTTGGAGATGCCCATCTACGGAGCCAATTTGAAATCGAGGACCAACTTATCGAGCAACCGCCTGTTGCGCCGACGGAGCCGGTGAATCTCTCACAGCTCACTCAGGCTTCTACATCTACACTTGATTCATTACACGCCCCAACTACCGCTCCAATTACTCCAGTACCTACATCTTTCAGTTTACCACGAAGGGGGCCCGCATCAATACAGATAAAGACTTGCTCGGGCAAGACGCACAATGTTGCGCTAAGGAAGACTGCGGCCACTGTTTCCTATGAAAGACTTGTTGCCGGCCGCTCGACCACGGCTCCAGGGAGAGCTCAAAAGAGTTACTATGGTATTGATATACATAGACTTATGGACGAAGCTGCACAGGAGGCCGAACAGTCAAAAACGTCTCGACCCCCACCTATCCCCGTAGTGCGGCAATCAATTGAAGCTGCAGAGGGAAACCAGAAGGATGGGAAAGCAGCAACAATAATGTGGACCGAGAAATATCGTGCTCGTAAATTTACCGAACTCATAGGAGACGAACGAACGCACCGATCTGTTATGCGCTGGCTAAAGGGATGGGAATCAATTGTTTATCCCAACCTGGCTAGGTCGAAACCCAAAAAGTCCGGCAATGAAGAGGAACGACCGCACCGAAAGGTAATGTTGCTATGTGGACCTCCTGGTCTTGGAAAGACAACACTGGCCCATGTCTGTGCCAAACAAGCAGGCTACGAGGTGCTGGAGATCAACGCTAGTGATGATCGGAGCAAGGACGTGGTGAAAGGGAGAATCCGAGATGCACTCGGGACGGAAAATGTAAAGGGGATGAACGTGGAAGTAGGTGAGAAAAAGGTTCGGAAAGCAGCGCGGCCAGTCTGCGTTGTCGTCGACGAGGTAGACGGTGTTGTTGGCGGATCTGGTGGCGGCGGTGAGGGAGGCTTCATGAAAGCATTGATTGATCTGGTTCTTCTCGACCAGAAAAATGCGTCACGCTCATCGGAACAAAACACGGCGGGCAGAAGAAGGAAAGGAGATAATTTCCGCTTCCTGCGGCCCCTTATCCTGGTTTGCAACGATGTATACCACCCCAGCCTTCGGCCACTGAGAGCGTCTTCTGTTGCTGAAATGATCCATGTACGCCAAGCACCCTTGGAGAACGTGGTTTCGCGCATGAAGGGCATCTTCAACTTGGAAGGCATCCCCGCCGATAACGACGGCGTGCGAAGGCTATGTGAAGCGTCATGGGGTGTTGCCCGAAGGAAGCAAGCCAACTCCAAAAACAGCGGAACGGCCGAAGGCGATATTCGAAGTGTCCTTGTCGCCGCGGAATGGGTGGCTCATAAGCTGAAATACGAGAGCGTAGAGTCTATGCGGTTGACGAGAAGATGGCTTGAGCAGAATGTTTTGAGTGAGGCTGCAGGAGGCAATTCATTTTTCAAAGGCCTAAACCGTGGAGGCGTGCGCGACATTGTCGACCGTGTGTTCACGGAAGGAGCTGGTTTTGCAGACGTCCCTATCAACGCCGAATCCTTCCGTGATCCTTTCGATGAGAACGCGAAGACTCCTGTGGGTGTAGCCGACCTCAAAAAGCGCCATGCCATTAACCGACTACGAGAGATGGTTGATGCTAGTGGCGATTACGACCGTTGCGTCACGGAGTGCTTTACTTCATATCCCCTGCAGACATATCAGGACGACACATTCCTCTCTAAGCCCAACAACGCCTATGACTGGCTGCATTTTCATGATTCTATCTCATCCAAAGTTTTCTCTAATCAGGATTGGGAACTCACACCGTACCTCAGCCAGTCCGTGGTCGCATTCCACCATTTATTTGCGTCTGCCTATGGCAAGCGCACTCGTAATGAGCCTGACGAAGAGGGAGAGGAGGAACATCCTTTCTCTGGACCCAGGGCAGAGTTTGCCGCTAATGAGGCTCTGAAGCAGAACCGTGCAATTGTCAATGGTTTTCAATCTTCATTAACTGCTCCAATGCTGCGACTTTTCCGAGCAACCGATTGTCTGGTCACTGACCTCGTCCCCAACCTCATGCGGATGTTGTCGCCTGATGTAAAACCGGTTGTTGTACGGGGAAGCGGGGAACAGAAGAGCATGGCCAGTGTGCGTAAAGAAAGCGAGCGGGCTCTCGTGCAGGCAGCCGTCCGTGTCATGACGGGACTAGGTGTGACATTCGAAAAGGTGCGAGTAGAGGGTGAGGGCGGGGCGCACGGGGGATGGGCATATCGCATGGAGCCGTATGTTATACCACTGCATCTAGACCTCATTTCGAGATCCCCAGGCTAACTGTCCAACAGTCCATTAGATTCGCTCGTAACATTCTCAAAAACCAAAGGACATTCATCAACAGGAACAACCAGCGCCGCACCAGTGCGGTACGCCGTTCGCCAAGTCCTTGATCAGGAGTACCGCAAAGAGACGGTACGAAAACAAACCGAAACATTGAGTTCGACTACTGGCCCCAAAAAATCAGCCCGCAAGTCTGCCGACGGGCAGACACAGGACGATGGGCTGGGGACAAAAAGAACAGGCCGCGAAGCTGGTGTCAAACGCGACTTTTTCGGACGGATAATCCGCGAGCCTTCGCCGCAACCTGGGAGTTCACACGAGAATCCAGTGCAGAACGAGGCATCAAAGGCAGGCAGAAAGGTTTGGGTGACGTATCATGACGGGTTCTCGAATGCCGTACGAAAGCCCATTTCGATGAGCGAGTTGCTAGCGGGATTATAGGACATGGATGCCCAAGGATCTACTACATAGCTTTAATACGAAACAGTCATGACTAGATAATAACTCTAAATTCCGATTTCATAGAATCTTCGCTAGTAATATTCTGAAGCCGACGTACCGTATGGCTGCCAAGGTCAGCTCGCCTTCAATTTATATGAACAAAAAGATTCAGTGCCTCAATCATAAAATAACAAATAAAACCCATTAAGCACTCGGTTCTCGGTAGAGAAACCGATCACCACATCCCAATACGCAATATTCACTAAACATCAAGAACAAGAACTCGATCTCAAACCAAGCGCTCAAAATCGTAAACACAGCGCATCGTGCAATCTAATATTCCATCCCAAACGCCAATTTTCCCAGCAGAAGAACAAATCGAAGCAAAGTCCCCAAGGTGCACCAGGCAGAAAGGGAACGGTACGTCATCAATTGAGTTGTCATGTATCCCCAGCATTAGTTCCGTTCGACGATCCCTTCGATCCATTGACGGATATATGATATCGCCTTTCCTTGCATCTTCACCGATACACAAGGTAGGTAGCCATGGCCTCATAGTGTAGCGCTTTCTCGGAACTTTTGGTGCGCTTCGGTGTAGAGGTACCCGTCTTCTCTGTCTTCTTCAGGGAGAGCCATTTCTTCGTGGTGGGTTCGGCGTCGGTGCCCTTCAAGGTGGTAGTTGTGGAAAGGTAGGAGTGGGTCGATGCCGCATCATCTGAGACGGTGGTGGTTGACTTGGTAGATTTGAAGGCCATTGTTCCTTTTAGATAGGAGATTTTTGGGAGGTTTGGTTTATGTAGAGGAAATGGTTGTGGTTGTTCTTTGGTTTGGTTTGTATAGTTCGGAAGGAGTCTTGAAGTAGATATAGCAGTAGTTTCAATAAACTATGAATTGATCTTGTCCGAGTGAAAGTAACCAGTGATTGATGATAGAATAAAAGGGATGCAAAACATGATCCAGTCCGGTCTATATATACCCTCTCAATTTACAGTCAATTCCCTCCCTCAT